CCCCAAAACCCCAAAACCCCAAAACCCCAAAACCCCTAACCCAATGACGCTTATTGAAAATTGTTTTTAAGTTTTAACGTACGCAAAAGTTGTCTCTTGTTTCCTAATTTTTGATAATTATTCATACACTTCTGTATACCCCCATGATGGGTCAACATTATTAGCAATGTAAGCATAGCTCAGAGGCATAATACAGAATACAATTGCCATAAATAGGATTGTTACATACACCCAAGGTGAGTCCTTAGTGTATTTATTGAAAAATTTCCTCCCTGAAATCCACCAGCGAGAGTTTTCTATCTCTTTTGGATTTTGTGACCAATTTGGGAGGGTTTTCCACAACATCGAGATTATTAGTATTAACCATATGTATGAAATGAGAAGTGAGGGGATGAAAATTCATTTCAAGTAGAAAGGAATTTTTAGAGCTCCGGCAATAGGATATAAAGCGGTAGTATATCCTACACCTCTCGAGAAAAAGTATCAAATTGAGTATAAAGTAACAACATAAAGGTATTTTCTTGTAGACTCTAGATTCTGTCTTTTAAATGCACATCGAAAGATAAAGCACGGCCCAGACATTTCTGCATAATAGAGCCCGGTCATCATAGCACAACCCCCATATTGTTCGAATAAAATAAAGACTATTGCAGCCATCGAAGCGATATGATGGGCGATCATCCCTAAATCAAACGTCCCAAAGTACCATTCAGCAATAGTATCATACATAAAATATCCAAATGAATTAGCAGCCATAAAATATTGGCTATAAAGCGTCTTTCTGTTATACCGGAACCCATAATAATACGAGATATATCCCCCGATCAGAATTCAGCTCACTCCATGCACTATCGACACCCATTCAAGATAGTGCATGTCATGATCAGGTTTCTTCATCGTCACCCATTTCCCCTTCTCCAGCCTCATTGGCTTAGGTCCATATCTAAATGAAGCCATTGCTCATAAAAAGTAGAAGCAGAAGCAGATAAAGGTTAGGCCGATTCTTAATTCAGGCGACATGGTGGCTGGAATGGCGACTTCGGTAGTTGACTCCATTTGCATTTTGAGTGGGTAATATGGAATTTCAAAAAATATTAGTAAGGTTGGGGTTTTGGGGTTTTGGGGTTTTGGGGTTTTGGGGTTTTGGGG